CGGAGTCACCACAAGCTCCGGAACGGATCCGCAAAACTGGCCGTATCGGAGTCCACTTGCACAGCGCAACGGATCCGGAACAGATAAGGATTACGGATCCGGACCGGATCCGGTCCAGACCCTACCCGGATCCGGTAATAAAGCGGTTCATCCGGCCCGGATCCGATCCGGACCCGTTGATAAAGAAACGGATCCGATCAGGACCCGCTGATTACTCATCCGGCCCGGATCCGATCTGGACCCGTTCATTTAGTGGGTCTATACCTTATTTAAAATGGGTAATCTGGCCAAAACTAGCTATGGAAATATCAAAAATAGAGCCAACAAACATTATATAGACTAGACTGCTCTATAAACGTGTAATATGTCTCCCTTTATTAATATTAATAAACCATAAAATAATTCAAAACTTGAAAAAATCTAAACTTTCCTTGGCCAGTAATAATGAAACACTCTATAAAAAGTAGGTAATTACATGAAGAAAAATAAAAAAATAAAATGCAACCAAAAATTGTACAAAAACAGTTTTATTTAATGAAAAACTTTACCTCTAAAAAGACAATTCAGTTCAATAACTTTGTAAAGTTAATATTTACGAATGAATTAGTTCAATTCAGCCATAAGGAATTTTATAGCACACAAAAGTTTCATTATTCACTTTGTGTTAGCTTGAAAAATTTCATGACATCTCATAGCAAAGATTACTGTTAAATGTAGGATGTAAAAGTAGGTTATTACACGTTAAAAGCTGAAGTGTGTATCAATGTCAGTATCTGACAAACTAGTTGGCTAAATCAAGTTTAAAACTCTTTAAAAAATTACTCTTTTAAAAAGTAATTTAATCTTACTTTTAAAGATGAAGCAGAATATCGAAGGATGAAGTAGAATCAAAAACCAGACTGGAGCACTTGAATGAGCTGTGAAGATGCGTTCGGATTGCTAATCCGCGCAGTGTCCATAATGAGTCCGCTAATTGACAGTGCGCTGTCCGGAGGCGGGGCATATTCTGGGCGAATGACCGAACAGAGTCTGACAGTACAGCGGAGCTACCGATTTGAGGGCGGATCCGCCCCGGAGTCTGTTGCTATCAGGGTGTGTTCAAGCGCCAGCAAAACAGTGTAAAGAAATAGTCTTTGTGAGAAGCAGTCAAATCTTATAATACAATACAGTGACACAATAATTTCAGGACATGAAAAAGGATTTCAACACCAGTTTAGCAAAATACAATAATGTCTGTTATTGTTATTTAAAAAATTGTTATAACGTTTACATGTTCATACATTTTACATTTCTTTATTTTACGTCAGTGACTATATCCTATATGACTTATATACTATATTCTAGTATATGGATGGCACTTATATATTGTTTTAATGAAAAAAAATGTTGTTATATGTGTAATATCTATTTTATTAATATTCTGAATTAGTTTTGATTTTGATTTCATGTTGATTTTAGCTTAATTTGTAAAAAATTTTTGTTATGCGTTTTGTATGTATGTATATATATATATATATATATGTATGTGTGTGTGTGTGTGTTATTATTATTTATGATAATAATTATTATTATTATTTTGTGTGTGTGGCTAAGGGGGGGCACATGTGATAATTGATTGATAATAATTGTTTACATTAATATAATAATTTATACTTTTGACTCATCTGTTTTCTTTAAAACGGGTTTAAAGGCTGAAATGTGAAGTTTATCATTTTATAAAACTTTTTGTTTTTGTAAAAACCTGTGCCTGAACTGTAAATCATGATTTTTACAGTTATTTATACAGTTTAATATGTAACATTGCCCTACCCCGCTAATATAGTATTAATTTTATTTGTGCAGGTCTTAAAAAGTCTTACATTTGATCTTAAAATCCTGCAGATTCAGTTCAGTTACAATTCAGTAAATTCAGTTTTAGTTTTTATTTATTCCAGTTAGTAATTGTAGTGGTTCAACTTAAACTTATTTCAGTTTGTTGCTAAGGCAATGTTTTGTTTAGTTTAAGTCTTTCATCTAATATTTGTATTTCATTTCAGCTTATTTCTATTAACAAGATTGTTTTAGTATTGAAGTTTAAATCTCATGTATCCTTTCAGGAGCACGTCCAAGTCCTAGTTCTCCTCAAAATCAAAAGAAAATGTACAGTAGTTTGTAGCAAATGAAGTGTCTGAAGAACAGTTGTATCTTCAGGCGTTTCTTGAAAAGAAACCTAAATACACGCTGTCTGAACACTGAAATCTGAATGTCAGCGCTGCTCTCTGATGTGTCTGTCTCAAAGCTGGTGATGATGCCAAGATCCGCGTGTGGCAGATTCCCAAAGGAGGCCTGACGGAAACCCTGACTGAGCCGGAGTGTGTTCTGCGGGGTGAGAAGCCGGCACATGTGACTTCTGAACTGTAATAGCAGTAATTCGGTATTGTTTGATTGACATGAACCTTGACCAATGACAGGACACACAGAGAAGATTTACTCTATCAAGTTCCACCCCCACGCGTCCAGCCTGCTGGCTTCCTCCTCCTACGACCTCACGGTGAGACTGTGGAACCTGGAGACAGGAGAGGAAGTCAAACGACTCAGCGGACATCAGGACCAGGTCTGTCTGTCTATCTGTCTATGTGTCTGTCATTTTATATATCTGTCTGTTTGTCTGTCTTGTCTATCTGTCTTTGACTTTGTAGATATCAAGCCAACTCACTGTTTTCTCTGTTAGATATTTGGCATGGCTTGGAGTCCAGACGGGAAACTGCTGGCCACTGTGTGTAAGGATGGAAAAGTGCGTCTGTACGACCCACGCAAGTCCACCTTGCCCATCCAGGTTAGTTCAGCATCAGATTAATATTATTAAACTTCAAAAATCGTATCTTTTGACCACGTTTTACCATCTTTGTCCATGCAGGAGGGCCCAGGACCTGAGGGCCATAGAGGGGCCCGTGTAGTGTGGGTCTGTGATGGCAAGTACCTGCTGGTTTCAGGATTCGACAGGTACAATATACCACAAATTTAGCCAAAATGATTATAGTATTGGTACTAGCAGTGCCTCTCTGACTCTAAATATGTTCTAATGGCTTATTTCCTCTATAGTCGCAGTGAAAGGCAGCTGTACCTGTTCTCAGCTGAGTCCTTGGCATCCGGGTCTGTGGCTTCTGTGCCTGCCGATGTGTCTCCCTCGACCCTTATCCCGTTCTATGATCCCGACACCAGCGTCCTGATCCTCACTGGGAAGGTGCGTTGTTGAGCATTAAAATTGGCCATTGGTTTAAACGTTATAGTAACGAACAGATTCATCCAACAATGTGTTTATTTGTCCTTTGGTCTTTCAGGGTGACACACGTGTTTATACATACGAGATCGTGCCTGAAGCACCGTACTTCATGGAATGTAGTAGTTTTCATTCCTCTGAACCACACAAGGTATTATTGTTGGTGCTGTTGTGATGTTGTTGATGATATAGAAAGCAGACTGTTTTACTGATGTTTCACCGTGTCCTCACAGGGGTTGTGTTTCCTGCCGAAGACTGAATGTGACGTGCGTGATGTGGAAGTGGCTCGAGCCGTCCGACTTGGCAAGACCACCATTGAACCTGTGGCCTTCAGAGTGCCTCGTGTCAAAGTAAGAGTGACCCTCATACCAGAATCTGAAAAATAAAAATTATTATTCTTTTTTTATTATATTTTTAAATTATATTATATTTCTTGATACCTTTAGCTTGGTCATTTTTGAGTACTTTTTCAGCTTTACATTCCAGTGTTTCTCATGCTGAATGAACAAATGTAAACATTTGAATCTGTCTTCGCTCCACAGAAAGAGTTTTTCCAGGATGATGTTTTCCCAGAGACTGCAGTGTGGTGGGAAGCATCTCTGACCGCTGCTGCCTGGCTCTCTGGATCCAACGGACAGCACCGCAAAATCAGCTTGCGGCCCAAAGACATGACGCCCGGTACAGCTCAACATCACCAAACACAACTCAAGGAATAACCGTCGGCTCTATAAATATAGTGTTTAAATACCCTTCCTTATGATCCGTTTTCTTTCAGTGAGTGAAGCACCAAAAGAGGCTCCTGTGAAGAAGTACCTGCCCTCCTCTGTCTATCTGGAGGAGAAAACTGATGAACAGAAGAAAGAGGAGGTGTCTATCTATCTATCTATCTATCTCTATCTATCTATCTGTCTGTCTGTCTGTCTGTCTGTCCTTATCTATCTATCTATCTATCTGTCTGTCTTGTCTGTCTGTCTGTCCTTATCTATCTATCTATCTATCTATCTATCTATCTATCTGTCTATCTATCAACTATCTATCTGTCTGTCTGTCTGTCCTTGTCTATCTATCTGTCTGTCTATCTGTCTGTGTCTGTCTGTCTATCTGTCTGTCTATCTAATCTATCATCTGTCTGTCTTGTCTGTCCTTGTCTATCTATCTATCTATCTCTATCTATCTATCTATCTATCTATCTGTCTGTCTGTCTGTCTGTCTGTCTTTATCTATCTATCTGTCTGTCTGTCTGTCTGTCTGTCTGTCTGTCTATCTATCTATCAACTATCTATCTGTCTATCTGTCTGTCCTTATCCATCTGTCTGTCTGTCTGTCTGTCTGTCCTTATCTATCTGTCTGTCTGTCCTTATCTATCTATCTATCTGTCTGTCTGTCTATCTGTCTGTGTCTGTCTGTCTATCTGTCTGTCCTTATCTATCTATCTATCTATCTATCAACTATCTATCTGTCTATCTGTCTGTATGTATGTCTGTGTCTGTCTGTCTGTCCTTATCTATCTATCTATCTATCTATCTATCTATCTGTCTATCTATCAACTATCTATCTGTCTGTCTGTCTGTCCTTGTCTATCTATCTGTCTGTCTATCTGTCTGTGTCTGTCTGTCTATCTGTCTGTCTATCTATCTGTCTGTCTGTCTGTCTATCTATCTATCTGTCTGTCTGTCTATCTATCTATCAACTATCTATCTGTCTGTCTGTCTGTCTATCTATCTATCTATCTATCTATCTATCTATCTATCAACTATCTATCTGTCTGTCCTTATCTATCTATCTATCTATCTATCTATCTATCTATCTGTCTGTCTTGTCTGTCTGTCTGTCCTTATCTATCTATCTGTCTGTCTGTCTGTCTGTCTGTGTCTATCTGTCTATCTGTCTGTCCTTATCTATCAACTATCTATCTGTCTGTATGTCTATCTATCTATCTATCTATCTGTCTGTCTGTCTGTATGTATGTCTGCCTGTCTGTCTGTCTGTCTGTCTATCTACAGTATATCTCTGTCTATTGTTAGCTCATACATTCATTCGTTCATTCTATCTATCTGTCTGTTGTTTGTTAGTTTTTTTCTGCCTATCTGTCTGTGGTTTGTTTATTCTCTGTCTGTGGTTTGTTCTGTCTGTCTGTCTCTCTCTCTATCATTTGTTTATTTGTTTGTTCTTTTTGTCTGTAGATCATTTTTTTGTTCTGTCTGTCATTTGTTTGTTCTGTCTATCTGTCGTTTGTTTGTTTGTTCAGTTTGTCTGTCCTTCTGTCAGTTGTTTATCCGTTCATTCTATCTGTCTATTTTTTGTTTGTTTGTTTGTTCATTTTGTCGATCTAGCGTTCTCTCTATCTGTCTGTAGTTCATTCATTCTATCTATCTCATTCATTTGTGTGTATGTGTGTTTGTTGCAGTTGCTCAGTGCTATGGTGGCGAAGCTGGGAAACAGGGAAGATCCTCTGCCACAGGCATCATATGAGGGTGTGGATGAAGATGAGTGGGTGAGTGAAGAACTGACCACACACACACACACACCTCAGATGATTCATGACACTCTGTAAACCATCTAAACCCTATCTGTGTGTGTTTCAGGACGACTAACACACAAGCCTTGCCTCACGGTCCAGTCAGGGTGCCAGCAGCAGACATGGGACGTACTTGCTGTATTTAAATTTTGCCATTCCAGGGTGCCAACGTACCTCTGAACCTCCTAAACGTTCCTCATCCCGCCAGCTTCAGCTCCGTACAGCCTGCTGATTCACTCTCACACACTCCTCCATCTGCCTTCTAAATAACCCACCCATCATCTCTCTGCATTGGTTTAACTGGAGTATTAATATCAGTTATTAATGGTTAAAATGATTCTAGACACATGAACACATTCTTATGCATAGTTCAGACGTTCATCTCAGATGCATGACGCACATTTACAATATGACGGGGTTTTTTCTGTGTCAGTTTTAATGATGGCATCAGTTTTGTACTGCTGTAATTGACTGTATAATGACTGCATGATAACACAAGCCTTCCTCAATCTATAACACAAAAGCTCTCTGGATATTTTCATTGGTGAAATGTGCACTTAATACCATCATTTGACTATTGAAATGGTTAAATGTACGTTTTACATTGATATTGTGGTAATTAGTTGGATTAAATGTCATCTCCTTTAGGTTCTTAGCAGCGTTAGATATCCTTTAATAAGTCTGGAGCACAAATGTCTGTGTACCTCTAAATCAATGATCTGGAGACTTTTGAAAACACTCCTTTTTAAACTGGGAAATACTCTTTTCTGTATATTTCCTTCTGCTCAACCTAATCAACAGTATTAACACAAATCTACTTCACAAGGGTATTTTCTCCAATAATCAGGTTTATCACAAAGCAATACAACTATTTTCTTTTTTAACAGAACATGTTTACATATTCCAGGTAAGGAATCGTGCATGTTATGGCACTCGTACCGTATGATGTCCTGTGCTTGACATGTGACCATGTACTCACACATGAATGGTAGATGTTAATAGATATGGCAATGGTCTGCTAAGTGTTTTTTTTAATGTGAGCTCATTTTACCAATCTGATGTTTTTGGGATGCTTTTTCACAGCACTTGTAATCGCATTCATTTTAATACTTTATAGGCAATAATGTTTTTCACTCCTCTTTTGAATGGAATCAGTCTTGTGGGAATGTTGCCTCAAAATAAAATCTTGAGAGCTAAGAAATATGGAATTGTGTGGTGTATTTATTGATGATCATCATAATCATACTGTAATTATTACAAGTGTTATTGTTATAAATTATTATAATCATCATCATTATTATACAATGTATTATTATTAATATAATCATATTATGTAATTTATTGTTAATAATACAGTATATTATTATTATTATTTCTCTATATTTATTTTATATCATATTTTGGTTATAGACTCAATTCCCATCTGGTAATATTAAATATGATCCATTTATTTTGTTTATTGTTATTATCAGTAGTAGTGTTTAATGTATTATTAATATATATATATATATTTTTTTTTTTTTTTTTTTTTTTTAAAGAAGTGATTATAGACAAGTTTCGCATCTGGTAATATTAAATATATTCCATTACTTCTGTTTTATTATTATTATTATTATTATTACAACATTTACAAGGCACAATGAGAATAAAATGTAGAGAGTTACAATACAAGAAACTCTAAAATTAAAACACATCATATTATATTATAAATAGTAAACCATAGTATTACAAGGGATTCTATTATTAGAGTTTTTTTCAAAGAATGTAAATATAGGTCATCAATTTTCTCCACGAGTCACGACCCGAGAAGGGTGTTCCTGCACAACCGGAGGCTGCAGTTTCAGGACCGCAGTTCTAGGACCCTACGACCGCACGCCTCCGTTGAATCTGCCAGCGGGTCATGAATGTCCTCCAGCCGGCAGGTGGCAGTGTGCGTGTTGTGTGTGTTCGCCTCGGTTCTTCACCGGCTTCATCAACCTTGATGGAGCTACACGTGAAAAAAAAACATTTGTCCTAAACTGAGCTGTTTCACATCATCGCAGCAGATCAGTCATGGTATGTTCATATATTCATATACCGATCATCATCATCATAATTTTATTATTTCATGTCGGTAGCTCTATATTTCATCTCTAGAAATGCTAATAATGGATCATCACATTTGGGCGGCGTTATGCAAAACTTCCCACATAGTGAGGTAGGTATGTGGGGGCGTGTTAGAACGAGCCGTTTTAGGTAGGTGTGGCTGACTCTTAACTTTTATAAAGAATATCTCTTTGGATTTGAGACTTTAGTCTTTGCAACTTTACAGATCTTCTTTATGCACCAAGAGCTTGTAACACTCCAAAGAGAAAGGAAAACTTGAAATCGCATCATATGACCCCTTTAACATCTCCAAAAAATAACCACCAAATCTAATAATAATGTAATTGTAATTATTGTAAATCTTCTATTTTTCTCACTTTGGGAGTCTTAGGAGAATATGACAGCATTGCACTGTCTTAAAACTCAAATGTCTTAACATGACAGATGTTAATGGTCACCAGTATGAGGAATACTCTGTATGTGAAATATGACTGTTGTGTGAATGTGAATGCAGCCAGTCAGGCGGCTGCTGAGGCTCGGGGTCGAGCGGGCAGACAGTCTGCGGCTGCGTCTAGTTTCACAGGAATGACTTTACAAGAAGCCCAACAGATACTGAACATCTCCACATTAACACCAGAGGAGATTCAGAAGGTGAGAGTCTGTTGTAACAGTCTGTAACATACATCAGATCAACATTACATTATTCTCTCTCTCTCTCTAACAAAATATGTTTTAATTCTGTATGCTTTCATTTTCTCCTCAGAATTATGAGCATTTATTTAAAGTCAATGACAAAACTGCTGGCGGTTCTTTCTATATACAGTCAAAGGTAAGCAGTGAGACAGTCAATCAGAATGGTCATTTTTGTTGCTTCCAGAGATATGTTTTTTTTTGTTTTTTAGATTTTTTGTTAACATAATAGTCATAAAGCAGGAAACTCCTGGTTCAGGGTCACTCCTGGGTTTTGATCCCAAATCTTTAGCTATTAGATCAGTGGTTCTCAGCATCAGAGAAATAATAATAATAATGTATATGTGTTTGTGGTGGACTGTTGTAGGTGGTACGGGCTAAAGAGCGTCTGGATGAAGAACTCTCCATTCAACAGCAGCACCAAACCAAACCTCCAGACCAGCAGCAGGAGACGTGAGCTCCATCCTCATACACCTCCACTGTAATTATGACCCAGACTTCCAATAAAACTTGATCTTTTTGTACATTAAAAATGTCAATCATTTCTTTATTCATCCGTCAGAGTGCAGGAGTATTTTCTGGACATTACGTTGCAAGGTAATTCATCTCAATGTTCTCGAGCTCTAGAATTGTTGCACTTCATTCAGGAGCTCATGGAACTTTCTAACAGTTAAAAATGTACACGACCATTCAAAAGTTTGGTGTCAGATTTTTTCATGTTTTTATCTCTTCTGCCCGCCAAGGCTGCATTTATTTGATGAAAAATTCAGTAAAAACAGTAATATTGTGACATTTTGTTGCAGTTTAAATGAACTGTTTTCTATTTCAATATATTTTAAAATGTAATTTATTCCATGAATTTTCAGCATCATTACTTCAGTCTTCAGTGTCACATGATCCTTCAGAAATCATTCTAATATGCTGATTTGCTGCTCAAGGAACAGAACAGAAAACTCAAAAGAACAGCATTTATTTGAAATAGAAAACTTTTGTATTTTCTATCACTATTATTTTGTATTTACTATCAGTTTTGATCAGTTTAATGCATCCTTGCTGAATAAAATTATTAATTTCTTTAAAAAACTTTTTGCTGACCTCAAACATTTGAAAAGTAGTGTGTATGTGTGTGTGTGTGTGTGTGTGTGTATTTATATATTCATACGCAGAGTTTTATGTATCCATCCATCTGTTCATGCTGAAAGGAATGATCTGGATTTAATATAAGGTACCAACAAACTAAACAAACAAGGTATTAAAACTGTTTACAGTGTTGCAATAATTAAAGTCTAGGCAAAACTTTGGATTCAAAAGCAGTTCTGGGTGAATTAATTCACTGTATGTCACTGAAATCAATTACTGGGTGGATTTTTCTCCAGTAAAATGTCCTTGTATCTGGCGTCCATCTTTTCCAAACTATGAACAGAGATGAAAGATTGTCCAGACAAGGTTAATAAGTGATTCTATCACACCTATCATGATGATTAGGTCATGTGGCTGAACTTTAGAAACAGTATTTTAAGGTTTATCCCAGTATAATATTATGCCCCATAGACTTCAGCTGTGTAACTGTAAATAATAGTCCAATCTGAAGGATGATGCTTGTCTGTGGTAATCAACAGTGTGCAGCAGATGAAGTTTTTCTGAATCCAGAACATTCCTTCAAAAATCTTGATGCATTTGGCCATCATTTAAGCTGGACTGCTGTAAGAGTCGTACCATAAATACTGTAAGTGAGAAGCAATATACAACATGTGTTGCCATTTGAGTAATGGAATTAAAATTAATATATTTAAATATTAATATAATAATATGTGTAGCTACATTTGTTATTGTATTTTAAGTTTTTTTTCTTCTGATTTTTGCCCAACCCCAGTGTATGTATATGAATGCAGTCTGTACTTTTAAAAAAAAATAATAATTGCACAATATAAATACATGAATCAATGACAGCTTCAGACTTCTGTGATTCAAACCAGCTAATCGCTCTGAAATTAACAAAGAAAATGACTGAATATTGAACATATGTGTTCAAATTATACAGTATATTAGAAATTTATGATTAATAAAATCTGCATTTTCAGTGTTTTTCCTCAGGATTAAATATCAAATGTTAATTAGGATGACGACATAAACACTGATTATTGAAATGTGTTTTGGGATCCTCACAAACACTGTGTTTTTACTTTAGAATCGCTGTTATGTATATTTCAGTTATTCAAACTGGGATCGGTCAGATGCATTGAGCAAAAGCAAACCGATGGAAGGGCCAAGAAAAATAGTTCAACATCTCATCAGTTAATACTATAAATATTTCAGCCCTCTGTGCATGAATATCCCAAACATTCAGAAAAAAAGACTCGGTGAAGCGCAATATATCAAATGCAAATTTATTAAACATTTGTTTCTTTTATTTTCATTGACATCCTTATCAATATCGTAATAAAAATCCTCTAAAACAGGAGCACACACCTATGTTGTACCAACTGGAGACTTTTACAGCTCTAAAATTCTCTGAACATGATGCTGGGAAAAAATATATATTTATTTATATATATATTTATTCTCATATACTGTATTACATCTAAATTTCAACTATAATAAAAGGCACTTGGAGAAAAATTAAAATACTGATATTTAAATATCTCAAAAATGTGCAAAAAAGGAAAAAATACAAATGGATACTGGCCTTTCCAGGCCATAGTCTTTTTGTTAACCCTTTGTGCATCTCTGTGGTACTTCAAGAATGTGTCCTATTATTAGTTCTTTTTAGGAACATACAAAGATCTTTTCTTTTAGTGTGAGCATTTTTTTTTTAATCCTAAAATGGTGCTTAATTTATGTACCGTATATAGTTTCTGACATCATTGGAGTTTTACTGGCATGAATATCTAATTTAAATATCTAGCTATGACATCTTCCCTGCCATTCATTTTATTGCCATTAGTCTCTCACAAAACAGTTGCGGTAAGTTCAGAGTCATTGGGAACACCATCGTTTTGTGAAACAGTGCGGCCGTTTTCAGAGTGCTCAAAGGGTTAAAGGTTCAAACAGCTTATCTGATATTCAACATTGATGTAGACCTTGACAGGTCTGTGTCAGTTTCAGCTTTCTCCAGCCAACAAGATGAGGAAAGGGAGTAGGAGAAGAGATTTCCAACTTCTTGGAAAGATGCAAGTGTTTATAAACGTCATTTCCAGTAAAGCCTCCTAAATACACGCTGATGTCAAACTGATGATTACTGCATGTATTTGCATGTTATCGCTTATCTCAGGGGCCGTGTAAGGGTCAGTGGCCTACTTTTGAAACCTGGCGCACGGATCAAGATCTGGACAGTGGCAACATTTTTTCTAGCAGTGATGCTAGAGCGAACGGAGGAAGCACCAGCGATTTGCGGTCTAAAAAATGTTGTGCATTTCTCTTCTCTTTCACTCAGTAATTGGACATTATACATTACATATACATTATACAGTATGTAAACTTCAAACATCGTGGTATGATTATGGGCTAAATGTGAGGGTTTCTTACTCAAACACTTTCCGCAAACTTATCCGTCACCTCCTCCTGTCACTTCTCCCTCTTTCCTCGCGATTCACTAGCTGGAGAAAGCTGAACACAGAGAAGCAATAGCAGAAACAAAGCAACTTCAACATCAGGAAATGTCACGTCCAAAACAAAGTCAGTAAAACAAAATGGCAATAATTGTATAGTTTTCTACAAACAATAAAACAAAAATAATTATGGAATAAGACTCTTGAGTGTAAAAATGGTTTGGAGGGGAGGGCAGGGTACATGCTTTAAGGAAGTGCGATTATTTCAGTCGGAATGTTTTTAAATTACATTCGTTCGTTTCCCTAATTAATTTTTTTATCCCAATCTACGAGTAATGGACATTACGGAAAGAAGCTCTAAATATGTCATCTCTCTTACAGAAGTACTTCTCCTGAGTGCCTGAGTTCAGGAGAGAAGGCTTAATCAAGAGCGTTATTTTAATCTGAATGAGGTCTTGATCGCGACACATTGATGACAAAGACTGTGTAAAATCTCACTCACATGACCCACTTCAGGACTTTGCAGATAGCACCATAAAAGGTAGAATATGAATATCTGCCTTAAAGGTTGTGTTGTACAACTTAATGTGCCTAAAATCTAGCACAGAATCTGTCTTTTGAGTTTTGATTTTCAGTTTGTATGATGTATCACAATGATGCATCATGCAGCTAGGGAAAATCAGAGGCAAATGGGGTCCAATGTGAAATTTTTAGTACTAGGAGCGTCGCGTACAGCTCCATTTGTGTAAGGTGACGTCAGGAGTGATGCTGAAACTCGATGCCTCGCTATAGAGTTTGATGCGTTGGAGAACATTGATGTGGGTCATGTGAAAGGGTCTTAAATCAAAATGCTATCTTTTGGCCACCTGAATAGTGCTTTCTACACTTTATTATTAAGTCTCTACTTTAATCTCTGGGTATACGATTAGATTTTTAGCACAGTGATTTAATATGGGGCAAACTGTGAAAACAAACTGAGAAACCAAACTAGACCCTTAATTGTTGCAATATACCATTGCACGTGTCAGCATGTTCACTTGGTTGTGGATAATGTTTATTTTAAACATTCCACTATTCTGCATCAACCAAAAGTTATTTGTTTTACCCTGCCAAGCTAGTATACTGCAAAGCAGGGCAATACTGTTAAATCTGGCCCTTGGTTCAACTAGTAGTGTGCAATACAAGTAATGACCAGAAGATGGCACTATTTACATCAGTGCCATGTCCTATAGGGCATTAGCATTACCGCTTGTAGAGTTTGTGCCCTTGTATAACTTAAAACTCAGTCAGTCTGAGCCTTGTGTCTGTAAATCTCTTATTCAACAAAATAGAGCTAGTCAAGGTTTCTATTTCCTCCTCCTCAGAGGACAGATTGTCGTTCATACTTTGTCTATTTTTATTCAAAGATGTTTGCTAATATTGCAGTGACACAGCTAGCAGCAAATGCAAGTTTCGTCATATAGCTTGTAATAGCATTGAGCTAAAGAAGTTCACTTGCAAGGGATGCAAAGGGTACCCTCTGACTGAGGTGGAACTCGGGACAGTTTGAAGCAGGGTTGTCCATTCCTGCTCCTAAATGGCCACCGTCCGGGAGAGTTTAGCTCTAGCCCTATGTAAACACACCTGCACCAGCTACTCAAGGTCTTCAAGATCACTGCAAACTTACAGCCAGGTGTGTAGAAACTAAACTCTGCAGGAAAGTGGCATTCCAGGGCCAGAATTGGACACTACTAGGCCAGTAAATGAGCTGCTCTCGCCTGACCTACGACCTCAGCACCCCTTTGCAAACCTGACCAGACCCATGCGATTTAGCCTCAAAAATCTCTGGCTTTCTACGCTCAGAGGTCTTTTCATAACGCATGGAATAGCTTGAAGGTCAGTTCCTGAAGAATAATAGCACACGTTTGTGTCTTTAGTGTGTTGCGTACACTGTCGTCCAAAAGTTTCTCTTAAACATAAATACAATTGTCTCTTGAAGCAAGGGCACAGATTCTTAAGTCTGCCTTTAGATCAGTGCTCTCATAAAACAAAAAAAACAAAAACAAAGCGGATACAACTTAGGGTCCAATCCTGCTTCTGGGGGGCCACCTTCCTGCAGAGTTTAGACTAGGGGTGGGCAACCCTGGCCCTCAAGGTCCACTGTCCTGCAAAGTTTAGCTCTAACAAACTCATCTGCCTAGTGTAGGGTTTAGTTTGTGTTTGGTAAATGTTGTAACTAAACTCTGCAGGACAGTGGACCTTGAGGGCCAGAGTTGCCCACCACTGGTTTAGTCCCAACCCTAATTAAACACAGCTTAATCAAGCTCTTCAGTATTACTCAAAACTTCCAAGCAGGTGTGTTGGTGTAGACTGAAGTTAAACTATCCAGGAAGGTGGCCCTCCAGGAGCAGGATTGGACAACCCTGGTAAAAAGATAAGCCAGAGAGAAAGAGAAAGGAACGGAGGTGAATGTTTGGCCACTTTCTGAATCGTTACGCTAAATTTTCTTCAAGATACCATCTCGGTTATCACAAGAAACAGGTAGCTGTGTCCAACCATAAGGTACAAATTAGAACTGAAGTAGCGCTAAAAGTTGAAGAAGATTGTGTCACCTCCAAGCATAACTGCATTTGCTTTGTGAAACCCCCCCACATGCTTGCCTCTGATCTCTGACCCCTGTTCCACCCCCACCCTTCCCCTGCCATTCCTCTGGAATGTGGTCCTCAGTTGACCACAGCTGGCTTCAGCACCACTGGGCCAGAAGGGATGACAACCCAAGACAGGAGGTCGTGGGATGCCCCCGTAGACAGGTTGAGCACACCGCCATGGATCTCGTCCTCACCCTCCTTGCCTCTGGCCTTGCCCTTGCCCTTGCCATGGTCCCTGCGCTCCGAGCCCAAAATGGGCACCATGGGCAACCCCAACGTGGAAGATGAGAAGGTAGGAGACAGAAAGTGTGACTTGGTCAGACCAAGCGGGGAACCGCTGAAGGACAGGATGGATGTCCCCCCAAGCCCAGCTGGAGGGGAGCTTGGGCAGCCCAGTGTGCTCAAGTCCAAGGGACAGGGACTGAGGGGGGACAAGGGGAGGGAGCCTCCGAGACCTTGCAGACCGTGACTGCCCAGGAAAGCAGCGGCAGCACCAGGAATGATGATGTGGGCCCCACTGACGTAAGTCAGCTCAGATTCTTTCCCTGCCCCTGCGATCTGCCCCGGCTTCATCATTGAGCCCACCCCACCCGGACTTCCCTGCTCCTGGGCTACAAAGTGCCCATGAGCCTTGATATGCTTCCTTAGGGAGCTGGGGTCTGTGTAGCGTTTCAAGCAGCCCACCATCTTGCAGTAGTAGGGCTTGTCCACATAGTGTGTGCGCGTGTGTTTGAACCGGTCACTGGAATTGGAGTAGCGCTTGTTGCAGCCCTCGTATGGACAGATGTAGGGCTTCTCTCCTGAAATACAAGCACTAAGTCAGCCAGGTGATGCGATCTTCATCTATCTATCCATACATTTAACTTGGTACTGACCTGTGTGTGAGCGGTTGTGAATCTTGAGGTTCTCCAGTCGGGAGAAGCTCTTGTTGCAGGTGGGACAGCGGTGAGGTTTCTCATTGGTGTGAGTACGGATGTGTATCAGCATCTTGTACCTAATGATGCAGACAGAAGTCTTAAGGTACGTCTTATGTAAAACTTAAAGGTTCTGTTTTAAAACTTAAAGGTCCAAGGAAATGAACCTAGAAATGGGTTATATGGTGGGTATTTTAAAAGAGAAAAAGACTTGTTATACTAAACAAGTCCATTAGTGTCTTCAACATGTTGATATTCTGCAATACAATATACCTCTAAAATTAAAGGGATAGTTCACCCAAAAATGAAAATTACCCCATGCATGATTTACTTACCATCAAGCCATCCTAAGTGTATATGACTCTTCCTTCAGACAAATAAAATCTGAGTTATATTAAAAAGTGTCCTGGCTCTTCCAAGATTTATAATAGCAGTGAGTGGGTGTTGAAATTCAATAGTCCAATAAAGTGCATCCATCCATCATAAAAAGTACTCTACATAGCTCTGGGGGGTTAATAAAGGCCTTCTGAAGTGAATCAATGCATTTGTGTAAGGAAAATATCCATAGGATGGCTTGAGGGTAAGTAAATCATGGGGTAATTTTCATTTTTGGGTGAACTATCCCTTTAACATGCACAATTATGTGGACACTTCAGAATATGGTGAAATATTTTAAATAATCTATTAGCCAAATTGTTAACGTTTTTCTGAACACACCATAGCTTAATTTCTATCAACGAGTCAAGATTAATCAAATGCTCTCCTGTCCAGCTGTTAAATGTAGCTTTCTTTAAGACGGGTCATAACTCTTTTTCTGTTTGTTACATAAAAACGTAGATTGGTCTAATATGAATCCAAAAAATTAGACTCAATGGCTAACTGCTAATTTATCTAGTTCTTAAGACTAAGTCTTAACATAGAGGCTAAGTTTATGCAACTGGCCCCTGCTGGTGCTAAATGATTCAAAGACAACCTGATTTAGAGAATGCAGTAAACACACCTGGCGTTGAATCCCCGTCCTTTGCGTGCACATCCCTCCCAGTGGCAACAGTACCCAGAATTCTTCTCAGGCTTTACATGGAAGTCATTGACGTGATCCACCAGGTCTTGCAAGGAGTCAAAAAGTAGGTGGCACTGTGACAAGAAAACAAGCACAATGAGCTCAGGTGAAAAATGCACATTAGCACCTATTTCTCACTGCTTCTATTTCTCACCTTCCTCCAGCGACAGGCCAGCTGTTCATCTGCAGAGAGGTCTGGAGAAGCTCTTGTGTCCTTGGGCTGCCGAATGAACATCGATGAAGGGAGGTGAAGCCCTCCACCTCCTCCAATGGGCACAAAGAACTGGAACGCTTGAGATGTGGCTCCTCCTTCCATGTAACGGATATGAGCTGAGTCCTGCGGGAACAAAACGAGAAAAGGCGAACATAATTCAAGCCTCTTTATCGTTTTTACAGCAGGCCAGCGATTCTAGTAATAGTTGTTAAAGTCAGTAACGGGAGCTACAGGAGGTCCGTGTTCTGTAATCGCCCTCACAGCGGAAGACTCTTATGAGCGTTTTGCTCGATATGGCGGCTCGTCTTCCCCGTGTTTCTGCCCCCAGCTGTGCTGATCTGAGCTAATGCCCTGCCACACTTTACACTCAACCACATATTTGAGACTTTAATGAGAGAAAGTGAAATGGCAAGGCACCAATAAATGTAACACAATACGAACAAAGAATCTTATACATGGAGCTTGATTTTGCACAAGTGCCCTCTTATGAGCTATAAGATAAAGAGTGTCTAGATAGCAGGACTAGATAGTAAACTATAAAATAGAGTTGTGAAAATCTGCCTAGGAAAGAGTTTAGATTTTGAGTAAATAGAAATAATTGAATATGTGTTGGTCTAACGACACAATATTTTGCCCTACTTGCTCTGAGTGGTGGTAAGTCTCTTAACTTGAAAAAATGTCATTTAAAATATGTATTAACTTCTTAATGTTTTAATATATTTTATAATATTTAACATATTCATTGATAATTATTATTATGTTAAATTAATACATTTATTGAAATTTATTATATTTATTTAATACACTTATACAATACAAAATATTTTTTCCCTCATCTCTAGTGGTCGTTTTTCTCAAAAATATTACACTCAAAATAGTTTTTAAAATATTTATTAGTTTATTTAATTTAAATATTTACATTTTAATATATGAATATGTAACATTTATATATATATATATATATATACACACACACAAACGCAATTATATTAGTATTAACTGCTATGGTATTTATTACTATTTTGAATCGGCTTTTATTTTTATAATTTCAGCATTTCTTTTATTTTTTGTTTAAGTTTTAGTAATTTTGTTGTACTTTTTACATTTGAATTCGTTTGAGATTTTTAAAAAATACTTTTTAGTTTTTCTTAGTTTTAGTCATTTTATTTCATCTAAATACTATATATATATGAATTTTTTTTTTTTTTTCATCCGCTAAACCAAAGTGTCTGATCATAGAGAAGAGCAATCACCTCAGTAAGCTACATCACCGTGTACAAGTTATGCGGCAAAGTTTAATACTTAGGGTTTAAGGGTTTGTTAATTTTTCTGCCCCTAAGTATAAGCAATAGTAATAGTCAGGGGTGGACTTAGTGATTTGGGGGCCCTAAGCAAATTTCAGGTATGGGGCCCCAACAATAATTTTTTTACGCCTAACCCTTATTTTGCTCGCTCTCTCTCTCTCTCTCGTAGGTTAGTTTATTTACCCCTTCACAACTTAAGTAAATTAGTCAACCTGATGCTGTTCTAAAGCCATATTAGGCTACCTAATTTTTTTCGGATCACAAATGAAGACATTATTAAAAAAACTGCTTGCACTTGTCCATTTAATGAATTGTAAACTTCTTTAAACTTTTTACAAAAAGGATTCAAATGTCATAAAAAGTATCCCATGCAACTCGTTTCGTATTCCAAGTGTTCTTAAGGCATACGGTAGAGTTTGCCGAGAAACAAATCGAAAATGTAATCTATTATTAAGCGTAAATCTCCAGTCATCGCATTCGTGCATTTTATACGAGTGTGTGGCAGTTCGCGCCGGCGCACCTAGGAAAAGCACAAAAGCGAGTCATTTTGAAACATCATGACAAATAAAATCATGACACGAAACACGATTCGTCCTTCTCTGAGGAGAATATCTCTGTTCTGAGCCAGTCAGACAGTATTATATAGCCTAGAAAGTGTGCAAAGAGCACTACACTATAATCACTTAAAGCTGTTATTCACTTCAGTTCATTGCGATCTCACGACGTTCCGTTAATCAATGAAGCTGTCTGCACGGCACAATGAATATCTTATTTACATCGTATCTGCACGTTGTTGTAATGAGAGGATTCGCAAGCTTGCAGAACTCAGCACCTGACAAAAACTCTGCATTTTGAGCGGTGAGTGAACATTTGAGGCTCTCCATAACGCAAATACATACTGGAGCGTTTGCCAAATATGTTTCGCCAATATCAGATGGGGCCCCCTGATTCCCCGGGGCCCTAAGCGGCCGCTTACCTCGCTTATTGGTTAAGTCCGCCCCTGGTAATAGTGATGCTTAGGAAGGGTTAATAAGAGCAGAAACAATGATGGTTTTGACTGGACAACAGTGTCAGGGCTGTCTGGGAACGTTTTCAGCTATGTGAGAAATGTGCATGGAAAATCATGGCAAATGAGGCTCAGCAGTGTCCTCATCTAAGACCTGGCCACTGTTCATCCATTGGCTTGAAGGAGGCATGGCAGGCATCGGAGACACACATAGGCACACAAAAAGCCATGCATCTCGCTCCCAATTCAATCTTGAGCGAATTAAATTAAGCAGAAAGAGCTCTGTGTGGCTGTACCTCGCTGTAAATCTGATTTAACCTCGCGTCCCATCCGTCAGCCCCACAGACAGCGAAAGAGAGACACTTTTGTGAAGGGACACAGGGGGCATTTGATAAGAAACACCAGTTTTGGGTCACTGAGGGTAACAGATCTGAATGTCTCATCTTGAGGGAAGGTGGGGGACGGTCCTGTGCGTTTAATGCACTCATGCTTATGACCCAAACAAGCTTATTAGCTTATTAGTTACCTTAATGAGCAAGATATCTCATTTATGAAGTAGTAGACCTAGTGTAAAGCTAATGATAGTGCTTCTAAAGGCACACTGAATAAAAAATGTCTTGTATTTCAGTTAAAAAATCTACAAATCCTTAAAACAAGATACATTTACTTGAAAAGTAAGATTGCATAAGATTTGAAGTATTTTCAGCTAACTTGATCTTTAAAACGTGTATTTCTTTCACCTTTTTACCTGTTTTTAACTCACAAAGGCTGTGTTTATTTGAACAAAATTACAGTAAAAACAGTAATATTGGGAAATATTATTACAATTCAAAATAACTGTTTTCTATTTGAATATGTTTTAAAGTGTAATTTATTCCTGTGATGCAAAGATGAACTTTCAGCAGTCTTCAGTGTCACACGATCCTTCAGAAATCATTCTAATAAGCTGATTTGCTGCTCAAGAAACATTTCTGATTATTAGCAATGTTGAAAACACTTTTGCTGTGGAATTTTTGTGGAAACCTTTGATGAATAGAAAGAACAGCATTTATTAGAAATAGAAATCTTTTGTAACATTATAAATGTCTTTACTGTCACTTTTAAACAATTTAATTGAATAAACATATTTATTTCTTCTTCTCAAAAATAAAAAAATCCTACTGAGCCCAAACTTTCGGTGGTATACATAAAGATACATGTCGTACAGCCCAAAGGTACAACACAGACACGTGCATCTGCGTGTAAGAGAGGCTCTGGGTAGACAATGTTTTATCCCACGCGTATAACTACACACACCACAGGTGTGTGGCAGCAATGTAAATGGGACATTTCTTTGGGTGTGTGTGTGTGTGTGTGTGTAAAAACCTCACCTCTGTCTGATTTGGTCCAGTTTCTCCGGATCGCTGATGAGCACCTGAACACCCAGCTTCATCTTGGTTTTCTGCAGGCTGAAGTCCAGACAGGCTATCTTGGCATTGGACACACGCTTCACCATTCCTAAACAATACAAACAACATTTACAAACACACATATGAACATACACTGTGCAATGTCAAAAGCAAGCATGCGCATGGACAGACCTTGTGATCCGACAGTGCAGTTAAGTGCGTATCCGTTGACGAGGAAACTCTCTTTCTGGCTGCGTCCGTGAGCCTTCAGCACATTCACAGAGTTGATGGGATAGCGAGCAACACCTTTACCATCAACAAACTTCACAGCCAGGGCAGCGTCCACCACCATATTAGCAAAAAAATCTGAATCACTGACAGAACGTCAAGGAACAACACTTTC